AAACAACTTTTGTGGAAAAGCAGAGGGTCCTACAACTTTTCCCCTTAACCTTCTCTCATGATACGAAACATTTCTGTACAAAGTTGGATTTCAGAGGTGTTGTGAGCTGCAAAAAATATCTTTGTAGGAGTTCCTAAAGGATTCAAAGGAGAACAGTCTCTCTCGGATGAGGTGAAGTTCCAGCTCCCAGTCAATAATAATGCCGGGGGAGCCTACTCTTACAGGAAGATTTTCTAGTGCTAAAGAAGTTTGAGGGAAAACTCTGTAAAACACCCTAAGGGCAAGATTACACGTTAGATTAGCAAATGCTAATTTTGAAGAATAATAGTCTGTGCTAAAGTTAACCAGTGCTAGTGATCAGTCACATGTTTAGGGTTAATACCTGCTCTAATGTGCATTACTGCTCAGACCTGCTGCTAGAAGGCTGGCAAGCAGGCGTGTGGTACAGGGCTGCAAGTCTGCTCCATACCTGATCTTCTTGCCAGGTCTCATGACAGTATAGTTTGGGGGAGGGGAGAAGGAGAAGGCCCCCCCCATGCTATTTGGATTGCTCCCTCAGCCCCTCAAATCACCCTGCTGCCCTCCATCACACCCTCCATACCCCTTCCACTCACCTGATTGCCTCGCCCCACTCCTGGATCTTTGTCTTACCACTCCTATCAGCAGTGGCAGTTGTAGGGGGAGGGGTGGGGATATCCCTCCTTGCCTGTTCCCCAGCTCCCTCAAACCCCCTGCTTGGCAGATCCTTGCCGTCTACCTCCACCTTTAGTTGCAGGGCTTGATGGGAGCTGGAGCTGGGTGCACAGGGGAAGTGTGGTCTGCAGGGACCTCAGGAGCAGGCACAGAAGGGGAATCCTTCCTACTGACACCTCTGCCACACTCAGGCTGATGGGGTGGCAGGGCAATGATCAAGGGGTGGAAGAGCCAATGGGGGCCAGAGGGGAAAGTTGGAGTGGCAGAGGAACAATCCAAGAGTGGAAGGGTTGATTTGATCTTTATCTAATTTACTTATAGTTGGTGTATATGAAAACTTTGAGTAAGCTTGTGTGTATTTGGAATTTGGCAGGGAAGGGGAGAATATAGCTTCTGTCAATCTTTAGTTCAAATGTGAGTGACTGTATTTACATCACTCCTAGCAAGAGCAATTGAATCCATCAAGCTCGCAGCCTTTCCTTCCTTCCCCGTTCATATCTAACTTCATAGGCCAACACCAACTTAATGGTTTACTGTGGCATCCCGGCTTTGATTTGCTTGTGACAAAGTATCTAAAATATTTCTTAGCTTGTTTTTAGTGCTTACTCTCCTTTGCTTGTTGATTCGGTGACAAATAAGCACGTTATTGCTAATGAATATGTTTGAAATTCCATCCAGGACCATAGCACCCCTCACCCCTCCAAAAAAGGAGAGTAGAGGTCCTTGAATGTGACTGCTATTAATCAGACCTAAACTTTCATATTTGCCCTAATTGAAAGTGTTGTTCCATAAAATATTTTATGCATGCCACACCAGTGTTGAACACCTAAAATTTGAAATTCTTATTTCTTTTATTATACAGTATGCCAAACTGGGAAATTAGACCAGAAAAACAAGTAAGGGGGGGGGGGGCAGGGTGAGAAGAGCTGTTTATTTGTCTCATGCTGGGAACTTTCAGTCCCCAACTGGGCTCAGCAGAGCGTGTGTCATCATCGAAAGCATGTTGAGTGGGAACTGGGGATGGAGAAACGTCTGCATTTGACAGCTATGAAGAAGAAAGAGAAACAAATACTCTCAGTAGGGCAGCATCTTTTATGAAATACAAATGATACATGCATGGCTATTATTTAACCTGGATTGTTTCTCCCAATGCATAAAGAAATCACCTTCTACAAAATAAGCTCCACCCTTCTATTCATACAAATGGGAAAGGTTCAGTTGCTCTGGTAGCACTGCACCACCTGCTTCTTCAGACCCCACAGAGGGCACTGTGGAGGTTTCACTTCTAAGCTGGGACACCTAATGAGGTGTAGGTGGTATGGGCAAATACTCATCATGCCCTTCTGGCTACATACAGACATTCAAAAAGCCAGGGGGGGAATCAATTTAAGTTGTGCAGTTGTCTCTAAGTGACCTAGTTTAAATTGGGAACAAATAGTATACATGTTCACCCTTGTGCCGAGGGGGGGGCTAATCCAGGCAGCCTGCATTGACCAAGGCCTGCAGGCAGGGGGTGCTCCTCTGCCGGCTGCTGGAGGCTGCCAAACATAGCTGAGCACCCAGAACAATTCTGATTGACTGCTGGGCATGGGCAACCATGCCCCCAAACCCCCAGCTGCCTCATCATGGACCCTCTTCCTGTCTAGAAGCTTCCAGAAGAGCCTCAAAGCAAGTGCCCTCCCTTGTTACTTGCACATGACTATGTTCCAACCTGCCCGCATCCCACCATGGTGCCCCACTGCCCACACCCAAACATGGAGATCCAAGCTGTGGCATGTCCTGCTTGTCCCCCTGTATGACTCTCACTGGAGGTGGTGAGACATCATCCATGGCCATCTAGACATCATTCAGTAGCTGGCTGCCATGGGAAGTAGCGTCCCGCCCCTGAGTCAGTAGTCAGCTGTCCCACACATGGCCAGTTACCACACCCTGCACTCACCAAGCATCCTGGATTGGACCACTGACTTCCAAGTGACCAATGAGGATGAGACCACCCTGGACACTATGCATACTGGCATCAAGCACTGGTTCTGGGCCCATGCCACCAACAGCAACTGGAAAGAGTAGATTCTCCTGGGCACCTGGGATGACAAACAGTGGGTCCAGACCTTCTGCATGCACTGAGCCACCTTCATGGACATCATTTTCCAGGTGGCCCCTGACATCAGGACATCAGCATGTGGTTATCCCTCACTCCAGACAAGCAGGTGGTCATTGCCTTTATGAAGCTGGCCACTTCCTACAGTATCCGCTATGTCACCAACAAGTTTGGTGTGGCAAGTCCAAGACTGGAGAAGCCATTCTGGATGAACATCCAGAATTTCCTTGCCAATCACTTCATCAACCTCATCACCCCAAGGGATGTGATCACTGGCTTCCACTGCATGGGCATTCTTAACTGCATGGGAGCTGTGGATGACACCCACATCCCCACCATCTGCCTGCCCCAATGTGCCCAGGTATTCATGAACCAGAAGGGCTACTTTTATGTCACCCTGCAGGGCGTTATTGACCACCAGATCTGTTTCACCCATATATTCACTGCTTGATGAGCAGCATCCACGATGCCCACATTTTCTGCAAACCCCCC